ATATGTTTGTAGCCGCGTATCTATCGTATCTGTTTACGCGCGCGTATGTGTGTATATTGTGCGCAAATTGTGGAAAGCGAAGCGAGCGAGATAGACAGACGTGGGGAGGAGAGTGCGCGTTCGAGGCGATCGCGCGTGTATGTGTGTGCGTAGCTTGTAGCTACAAGCGCGATCATATGGGTTACACATACGTGTCAGAGCACTAATGCTAATCTCAACCATAGATTACGAGACGGGCGGCGACGATCGACCGGAACTGCCGCCGTCATGGAATTTCCGCGACTCCTAGTTTCTAGCTTTCTGCGGTCGCTCGGCCGACGAGCGTGGTCGACGTCCTCGCAGATTTCACCCTTTTCATCAGAAAAAGTCCACCGCAATAAAATATATCTCGCAAATAAATGTAATTAATTTCGAAACGAAAAATCGCTATAATTGGATGCTGTCGCTCTGTCGAATCTCATACATTAAATTACCATTATTTTCTTTTTAAATTTTAAACGTTATTTGCTTAAGAATCATAAAATAGTATATTTATGACCAAGAATAATTTTTCATAAAAGTGATTTCTAACGTCTGATAAAGATTTGGCTAAAATAATATAAATAGAAAAAATATTTGATTAAAACACCATGTTCACTAACGTAAAGAAAGTTTGATGTATATAGCGAGAACGAGAATTTTTGTTCTACCTTAATCGGCTCGTGTTGACGATTCGGTAAAAGCACGGTAACGAACTCGTTACGATAATAAAGTGGCACTTGTCGACCAATTCGACGATAGGGGAAAGAAAAAACAATCAACTTCGAGACCGAAGCCAGGTCGCCGTCCCATTTATATCAATTCTATTCATTGCCGCTTTTAACCTAGCACTCGCGCGTGATCAGTGATTCTCATCGCCAATAATTTTGTACAGAGTAACGAATTATAACGCTTCTTCCAATTTATCGAAATAACGAAGAAGAAGAGCAACAGAAAAATCAAACCAAACAAATCGAGCAAATAAAAATCTGAGACCAGCTACATAATTTTGCTTAAAAAATCCAATGTAATTTTACTGCAATTTATATTCGACGTTAGATTCCATAGAATCAATTAATAGTACTAATCAGTGCCACTTCACAGAAGAGTTTGGAATCCACATTTATACGCGATAAATATACACATGTAGCACCATGTTTTACTCGCAGTAAATTTGGTCGCCGGCAACACGGCACCGTGGGAAGGCAGGTGAAACGAGGCGACGTAATGGGCCTATCGGTTTCATTGATTCCTTTTTTTTTTTCAAGGCAATTACACAGACCTCCAAGACGGAGCGCGGGCACACCTTATTTTTCTGAAGATCACCGCACGTGGACCGCTCGTAAAACGCGACGATTCGACGACGGCGGCTTTCACGATCGCCCCGATGATGATCTTGCCGATCCGGCTTGCACGCGCCCATGATTCTCTCAAATTTTCGTCTTAATTGAAGCGACCGCACCGATGGCCACTTTCGTTTTCGCGTTTCTTTTTCGCTCGCGTGTTTTCGTTCTTTGTATCATCCCACGTATTAATTCTTTAATATTTGAAAATCGAACAAGATTTTTCGTAGAAAGAAACACGAAATGTGGTGGATGTACAATAATCGTGTGATTTTTAAATTGTACAACTGTGGCAAGCGCAAAGAAATCGAGCTCATTAATCCTTGATAGGATTATGTAAAAATGAGGGCAGTTATGACAAGTCATTTGTTATAGAGCGAGGTAGATGTGTGTTATTTTTCTTAGCTCTATCTTCCTCTGTATCCGGCTGAAACGGGCTTATAGAGAAACGCGCCATCGCGGCGAAGCACGTAATATGAATCTTCATTAATAACGTCGAAATGGCAGGTCTCGGCGTGACGTCGTAAAACGGTCGGATAAATGCAAACGTCTGTTGCACGTATCTACTTATTAGCCGAGGCATACACTACGTAAATTTCTCTGGATAAACTGGAATTAAAAAAAAGAAAAAAAAATAACAAAAAATAACAATATAAAAATTTTTAGAAATAATTTATACAATCGCGTATGTATCTATTGGGTGTCGCCATGTAGCGGTGGCGAGATTCAATTTGAATTTTATGGTTGCAGCTCAATCTATCAAAGTGATTCACGCGCGACAGCTCGAGCGACTTAATTTTCGCCCGGGGTTGCTCGGCTCGTGCATTGTAATACCCCAAAATGGACGCGGCGAGCTAATTAAGTCGGACGTAAAGAAAGATAACGTTTCATAATGAAGGTGGATTTTTTTTGTCTATTTTTCGAGCGCCGCCCTCTCTCTCTCTTTCTGTTTCTTTCTCCCCTTGGCCGACCCGAGGCCGCGCCGGGGAAGATTTTACGCCCGACAAGCTCTCGAAAAAAAAAAGGTCGTCCGAGTGTACCAGAGAGAGCAGCGAGTTTAAAACGTTGCAAGTGCCGTACCGGATATGAGGGACGCGGAGTGGGGGGAGAGAGAGAGTGGGAAGGAGGGAGGAAGGCGCGCGCGGACCGGAAATGGCCGCCCTTAACCCGGCGCGATCAAAAACTGGTTTCGCCAGACACACGAAAGCGCCGCCGAGAGATGAGGGAAGCGAAAAAAAAAAGTGAGCCAAGAAGAGAGAAAGAGAGAGAAAGAGAACTTCCACCGTCCTTCTTCCTACCGCTCTCTCGTCGGTAAATAACGGATAATTTCGCTCTCGAATAAATCGAGGGAGGCAAAAGTTTCGGCGTTAAAAAACGTTTAAGCCGTTGCAATATTTTAAGAGAGCCGCGGGGAAACTTTAATGCAGTTAATCCGGAGTGACTTCCGCGAAATACGGCACTAGGAATTCTCGTCGCGATGCACCGCGCGTATTTTCCCTCGCACGAACGACACCGTGGTTCTGATGATCAAAACAATCGTCGAGAAAAAAAGAATTGCAAACATTATATTTATCAAACGTGATATTTTACTGCAAAAAAAACTGGAGATTAATAGCAATTCCATTTCAATCGAGAGTTCGAATATTTATGTCACAAAAAAAAAACAATATTTTACGTTTTATTCACATTTTATTAATCTTTAATTTATTTCAATCCGTTAATTTTATTATGTAGTTATTTAATTATCATGTTCCAAATATAACAACATTTTGTTCGCCAAAACAGCGTTGAAATTTTGCATCTGTAATATTCCAAGCGATTAATCCTTCGATTAATCATTATTAGCCATGTTATTTTCTCAGGAGCAGCAATTAAGCGAATTAAAATTGACGACGGAGATGCTGAAATAATGGACCGACAGCTGTCGATCTAATACAGTGAAAATGCGTGGCCTACTCGATCTCATTTGTCTGATAATACTTTGCGTCATTAAATACGTCTTTTGCTCAGGCACAACGCAAGAGGCATAATTATGATACTTTTGTACCGTTAGCATTAATAAGTCGTAGGTGCCGATCGGCCGATCTTAAAGGACGGAGAGATATATATATATATATAATAAAAAGGCCCAGTCCAAAATAACTAATTACACATCACGCAATTACATCTAACGCCGAT